AGGCAATGTTGCGTTTGCAAATTGAAGATCCTGTCAGACCAGAGATGATTGGTTCTCATAGGGAAAATATGCTTGTGCTTGGATGGCTTGAATGGTAACCAAGGAAAACACAACTTAGAGAAGCTGATTTGAGAAGCAGCCTAGGCCCACAATAGAGTGGCATGTTGTTACAAAGCGTTCATAAGCGCATTGTATCCCGGTTGGGTTCAGCTGGACACGGGGCTGGGTGCTGAATCCAAGATCGGTTTCGCGCTTTTTTTTGCCGTCGGTTCCAACCGGAGATGCTTCTCTCGGTTCAAGCCGCCGGAGATGCGTAGAATTCCGGAATTCACCGGAGCCCAAAAGCCTGGACTCGGATTTTTCTCAGAAGGCAGAGGCGTCCAAAGCATCTGTCCAACGGGCCAAGTTTCACCATGGCAGCAAAATGTCAAGGCATGGATGCATTGAATCGGCGGTTCTAAGAGGTTCCACCTGTCGAAAAAGAGCTGAACGACCACAACTCAGTTGGCAAGCGACGCAAACTCCAAGAAAAATCCCTGAACTCATCCCAGCAAGAGCACAAAGCAGCTTCACACACCCAGGCCTGGGTGTGCGGAACAAATGCGGGAGGCCCACGTCTCTTTTGAGCGGTCCAGCCAGATGATTCGAGCGATGAACTTCCTGACTCTGGATGCCGTGGCGCCCAAGTGCTGGACGGCACAGGAGGCGTCCGCGAGTTGAATTGGCACTTGCGAGTTGGCCTTTGATCCTTCCAGTTGCTTAAGAACATGTTGTTTTCTACCATGTGGTTTTCGTTTGCTGGGTTTAAAGGGAATTTATCACTACTGGATATCCTCTTTTTTTCTTCCAGGGGGCTCAAGCCAATGGAATAATGTTTGAACAATTGTGTGCTTATTGAAATCGCTACGCGATCCGCCGACGCCAGTGGACAGTCCCCTATTAATAAACTGGGGCTGATGTCACGTGGGGCTCTTAACTCGTGGAACAACAAACAAACAACGCCACTCTGACGTCGGCTGAAGGGTGCCAGACCCTTTTTTTTGCCTAGGTCAAGTGGGGCTCTTATCTAGAAAACGGTTTGGATGCGCCTTTTGTGGATTTCACCTGTTCTTCCCCCTTTAGGTTCTTTTTTAGTACTCTTTTAGTATCCCACAGGGGTGGATCCACAAAAACCGCATCCAAGCGGCTTCCTACATCTTAGCGCGTGGAAGGAGAACGCAAACAACGCCCCTCTGACGTCGGCTGCAGGGTGCCTCGAATTTGGGGCCGGGAGCAAGACGTCCTTTTGCCTAGGTCACATCGGGCTTTTAACGTGTTGAGGGAGAACAAACGACGCCCCTCTGAGGTCGCAGGGTACCTCAAGTTTGGGGTCAGGAAAAAGACGTCTTTTTGCCTAGGTCACATGGGGATCTTCACGCCTGGAAGGAGAACAAGCAACGCGCCTGTGGAAGGAGAACAAACAACGCCCCTCTGAGGTGCCTTGAATTTGGGGTAAGGAGAAAGACGTTTTTTGGCCTAGCCGCTCTGACTTCGGTAGCAGGGCTGAACACTTGACAGGAGAAGAACACTAGGGTCTACTGCTTAAACCACCCCCTGAAAGGGTATAAAAGCAAGGCCCCATTTTTTTGTAAGTGCAACAAGGCCCTTTTTTCATGTCCCAGTGCTGAGGATGCTGGAAATGCAAGGGATGCAACCACACAACTTACAGGAACAGACCCAATCTTCGCGCTCAAGAGTTTAAGACTTTCAGACGCGCAACATTGACCAAACACAGAAAATACCAGAGATGTGGGGAATGCTGGGAATGCAGCCGGCTAGCCACAAAAAAGTGCCAAAAAACCTGGGTTTTTAGATATTTCCCAAAAGCAATCATCAAAAACCGATACTAGCAACCCTCAAATACCCTAAAAATAGACTTCCAAAAGCACGATAATGCAGGGGATGTTTCGCAGTAACTGCTCCGTACAGGTGGGGAATTGCAAAAAAACACTCATTTTTTGCAAATTTCAACAGTTCCTCAAAGTATCACTGCACTTGGCCCCACTAGAAACAGCAAAACACCACTAGTATCTGCAAAAAAAAGACAAATTCATGGTAACAAGGCAATCCTGATGATGCTGGGGATGCAGATCCTGTGCGTCCGGAGGGACCGCCCCCCCTAGAGACCTAGGCGAAACGCAGATTTTTAGCACGAAAGACCCAAAAGCACTGGAAAAATACAGGTTTTGGACACCCAAAAGCTAGCAGTCCCAAAAAGCATGTGACAATCCGGCAACCGCCAAGGCCAGAAGGTGGCACGCACAGACCCTAGCGCTGTGTCTGGACTGCACTTGGGCTGACTCATAAGTCTCTATCCGCTCACAGTTCCATTCTGCACAAGAGCCATGTCCAAGGTTCGGGTCAGGCGCCTGTGCTGCCCTTGCCACGGCAACTTTGCCGTGGCACGGCAAGGACTAAAAAACCCGCTCCATGCGCTTCGGCAAGGGCTTCAGAGGGCAAAGTCATCGCGGGTGTTGCGGGTATGAAATAATTATCCAAGCGAGCAATGTTATGTAGACAGCACAACAAAGGTTCTGTTTCATCACAGCCAGCGGAGAACACAGTGGCTTTGGCCGGAGCACGCTTCTATAGGGAGACCCCAGAATGCATCTTCCTTGCTGCATCCTCTCGGGCTCTCAGCGGCACGCTGAAATTTGCAAAGCTGGCTCTTGTATTCCTTTTCTTCTTTCACCTTCTAGCCTGCGCAGTGCCTTTTTTCGAAAGGTCTTGTTCGTCCACCTCCTGCTGGTTTGCAATCCGACGTTTCCATGCGTCCATGGGCGCAAGCATAGCAATCTGCAGCTTGCGCAACAGTTCCACTGGATCTGGCTGCATGATTTGGGCATGGGTGACCACTCTGGTTTGCGAGGCCGCCCCAAGCAAATCAACATTTTGGAGACAGCAGCCAACTTCATTGACCGAACATTCTGCAGTGCAGCACACCCCTCTTGGGTGCCCGCTGGCCCATTGGGACATATTGTTTGCCATTTAGCGTGGCCAACCTTCCTTCCGAACCTAGTTTTATCTGCACTGCCCTGATGTATCTATGTATCCCATTAAATGTTTGGCCTGGCTCCTGTACACATAGAGCTCTTCAGTGGTATAGATTAAAAAGTGTTTGAGTTCAAGGTGCTTCTTTCATCTTTCAGGGGCTGTTGCTGGAAGTCATGAGGCTAGCTTTCCCTGTTGTCTGCTGGGCCATAGTCAAATACTCCGAAGCAGGGTGGGCATGTGGACAACTACCACATTCACAGCCAAGTCAACTTGCATTGTTCTCAGCTGAGGGCTGAGCTTCCGTCAAATATGTTTGAATTGAAACATGTTAACGCATTGAAACAAAATAACATATAGTTATATATATATATATCATCAGGCTTGTACCTTCTCTTCAGGAAATGGCATGAAATCCCGAGAAACTGGGCTGAAGAGACGCCCACCAGTGAAGAGAATGGGGGGAATCTGTTGCGAAAAGTTGTAGTTGCTTCTTTTTTGTGAGGGGGGTTGTTGAACAGGCGTCTTAGTCTCTTACGCGGTTGTCCTCTGCCAGCCTGTTGCGTAGCTCAGGGCTCCAGCAGGGTTGTCACTAACGTTGAACGAGTCAGCAGACTTCCCAATAGGATCGATTGAGCAGGAGAAAAAGCACAATTAATCAATTTGTCAAAGCATGCTTCATCCGAGCTGCTTCTACAAATGTTCAGGTGTTCATTTCCAGGATTGCTGCGTTCATAGAAGCGACTTGTTTAGGGACCGGACTGCGTTCGCCCGGGCTCGTGCCACAGCAGTGCAATGCACAGTTTTCCCAGCGCGGTTACAAGCGCCACCAACATGGAGATGCGATACAACATGCGAGATATTTTCAGCACATCGATGGCACGCTTACAGAACAGAACCCCTGCAACGAAGGATGTTCGCCAGCCGGTTTGCAGGCGCAGTCCCTGAGAAAGCGCCTCCTTAACTACAACGTCGAGTGTATCAGCATGTAGAGCCAGTGGGGGGCTTGCTTTCGCCCGGTTTCCTTTCACGTACGTTTGGGAAGGGTGATATTGATTCCAACAGTCCCAAAAGCCTTCGGCTTCGATAAGAGATTCCGAAGGAAGACCAAGTTGCTGACTGCCATCTACACGCTCGACTGGCGTCGGCGGATTTATTGTTTGTTTCTGTGTTTTTCGGAGGGAACCAAAAAAGAAGGATGGTTTGCCTTCGCTCAAGGACAACCTGCGACAGTTTGAGCAGATGAGATCCGTTCAAAGCAATTCCAGGATCCGTTCAAACAATACAGATGGTGGCCATAACGCCATCTGGGAGTCGGGGGTTGATTGGACCAGGGAAACATGTTCTTACTGAACGGCTCAAAGGATTAATTAATATCTAGGTCCCCAGTAGTGCCCTTTTGCCAACTTTTTTGGGGGAGGGTTCCCCTACTAAAATAGACTACCGAAAAAAGGGTACCCTTGTTCTAACGTATCTACTAGATACAACACGTGGCCGGCCGTGCTTGAAATCGGGGTGTCCTAAAATCGGGCCCTTGAGCCATAGGTGGTCCTTTTGATCGGTTGGCTTGGATAGAAGTAGATGAGTTCCACTGGTTTCGATGGGTGTTGTGCGTGATTTGCCAGGGTCATCAATTTGTCCCAAAGGTCACCTATGGTTGTATAGCGTACTCCTGTGGTTGGTTTCCTGATGCATGTTTCCCTCAAATTGTCATGAGGCTTGGGCATGTTTGTGCAAGCGTGCCGAAATTTGGTTCCGGCGTTGCGGAAGGATCGACAGCGGCAAGGGAACTGGTACATGGTTGTGGATGGTGTTTTCTTGTGCGAGTCCAAGAAGAAGTCCCCTGCAAGTAATTTGATTAGATTATATACCATTTGGGAACCCACTTTGGTATTCCATTGGTAGTTGCTGTGGATGCACCAACTCCGCTCGCATCAAATAAAGCCCAACTTTGAATTCGACCGGTGCCGATGGGTGTGCATTCTATCCATTGCCAAGCCTTTCGGATCCCCGGAATGATGACTCCTCTGCACATGCTGCAGGATTTTGTCCATCCACAGTATCAAAGTGGGCTCCCCTCCAACTGTGGGTGCCATTGGCAGTCCATTCCCCCGGCTGGCAAATGGAGTTATGAGTTGTACACCAAGCGACCCCCAAAGGCAAGGCTTAGAAACTCTTCAGCATCAAACACAAGCCCCGTCTTTGGGGGAGGTTGTTGGCTCCGAATGGCTTGGTTACAAGTCTCTTAACCGTCTTAACCTAGATTTGGAATAGTTTTGCAACCCTAGCTGGGCCTATCCGTATTTTGTGGGACCCCTAAAATTGGTGGTTGTTGCTTGTGTTCCTTGAAAACTCACCAACCACCAATGATTGTTTTGGGCTTGTGTTTCGTGTTCTTTGTTTTTTTCTCGTTTTTTTTAGAACCAAAGGGGCACCACCCCTCAAGAGGACCAGACCTTTCCGGGTCCCTTGGCAGGTGAGCCTCCTGGAGGAAGCGCTGGTGGCGCGTTCCGAGGCGTCTCTCGGGTGGATGCCGCCGTCTCTCTCGGAGCGATGCTCGGACTCGGTTTTTTTTCTCCCCGGCCAAGATGACTTCCATTTGCTGAAATGAATATGTTTGTTATTTCGTCCTGTTGGTTTTAAAGGGAATCTATCACTATTGGATTTTTTTGTTTTTCCAGGGGGCTTCAGCAAATGGAAGATGAAGGTTCTTTCTGAGGTTAGTTGGTGGTTTGGATTGGTGGGAATGGATTTGGCTTTGAAGCCCCGGTGCTTGAGGGGAACTAGGAAACCAACCCCCAACCACCAATCCGCAAAACCACCAATCCAACCCACCAACTAGAGGGAAGCTGATGAAGGTTCTTTCTGGGGGTATATACAAAGCATGCGAGACATAGGCAACTCTCGATTCCATGGGCGAGGTGACATCGACTTCCTCTTGATTGCTATTGGGTAACGAATCTTTAGACTTGGTTGAGCACCTTTGGTTTTTTTTCTCGAACAAGTTGGTTAAACTGTTTGCAGGGGGTCGTTATAGTACCGCAACCAAGCTTTGGGAATCCAATTATTGTTTCCGGCACTAAGGAACGATAACAAACATGCCGACAACTTGAACTCACAAAAAATGGACCTGTCCAAAATTCGACGCCCCTAAAATTGGATCACCGACGCCCTAAACAATACTCCCCCCTTCCCCTTGGAACTGGAATTCTGAACACAAATGGACCTCCACAAAAGAAGATCCCCTGAAAATTGGACCCCCTGCACATTCGCCCTTGTTTAACAATGCACCCCAAACAAATGACTCCCTGATCAACTCGGAACTCTTTAAACATGCACCCCTTGACGAACATCATAGCCCGGAAGCAATGAACAATGCATTCCGAATCTGACAATTGGACCTCCTAAACATCAAACCCTCAAAAAAACACCTCAAAAACTCCTGCCCTGGATAATTGGAAAGTTGTTTCTCACCCACTTTTTGCGGGGGGGCTTTCCATGGCAAGCAGCAATTGAACCGGGTTTGACAAAACAAGAAAAGGGGTGCTTGCTTGGTCGCTGTTGTTTGGTTATAAACGGGTTACACGCCTCATATGTTTTTCCTACATGGAGCGTACTGGGTATACAGCCCCATGTATCACCAAACCGAGGCCACATGAGGAGGTCTGGTCCCTGGTGTCCCCCTCCTCCCTCAGGCCCGCGTTCCCGAAGAAACGGGCCCGAAAAGCCACTTGGCCGCCGAATGCTAGGGTTTGCCCGCGCCTGTTTGATGTATGTCGGATTTTCAGGGAGGGTTTTAGGGCTACCTTCCCCATTCTTTACAGGCATCCTTCTTTCTAAAAAGAACACCCAAAACCCTGGGAAACAGCGATCGGTTTTTGAGAAAAGAGCGATGGTCGAAAAGAATGCACAAAAAACCCCTAGACTTTTGGTGAGCTTTGAGTTCCCTAACGTTGACCCCAAATTCATAAACCCCTGTTGATGAATATTTGGGTGTACAACCCCTGTTCATAAACCCCTGTTGAATCAACCCCTAGAAGGGTAGAAGCCCAGAGAAGCAAATCCACGGAGACTCAAGCTGCTATCCAAAGCATTCGGCCGCAGGGAGAAGGCGCAATGGGCCGCCTGGTTGATGACATCCTGCAGGAGGCAAAATGTTAGGATGCTGAGGATACAAATGGGTCTTCTCTTTTTTCGGGGGGGAGGATATATCCCTTTCTTGAAATGTTTAAAGGTAAATCAACAGCAAACCAGCGTCTTGTATTTTCTTTGCCGGGGGGGGGGGTCCCTAGAAAAGGCACACCCCAGATTTGAGCCATTCTGAAATGATCACTCTTAGCGTTGGATTCGAATTCTTTCAAATCTGGTTTTGCGGGACGTTTTTGGGTGCATTTTCTACCGGAAGGCTGAGAAAAACAGCACGGACGTTTTGAGGGGCTTTTTCTGGCAGCCCTGCGCACTTCCAGTTTCAATTTGTTCGTTCCAAATATCTGGTCACCCAATTTTCCCATGTCCTTCTGGTCAAACAAGTCGGTTTGTTTGGGGGCTCACTTGTTGGAAATGGTTCGCTTTAGGTTGCCACTGTCTGTGGGAAACCCAAGGCAATCCCCGAAATAGAGTACTAGAGTATGCTTAAATAGCGTGCAGGCTGGGAGGATGGCTGGGAGGGCGGGTGGGTGGCTGACCGGTTTGGTGGTTG